AAGAGCAGTTACATTATCGACACGACGTAGTTGTGGACAACCGATTGCTACTAGTTAGTTCGCACGGCGCTCGTTGGCGCTACGAGCAATCGCCCCGCTTGTTTTCCGATCCCCGCGCCAATTCCGCGATTCAGGCCCGAATTCATAGTCGTCTCTCAGATCTCAGATCTCAGATCTCAAGAGAGAGAGAAAGAGAGAGAGAAAAAGAGAGGGAAAGAGATGAGATGAGATCTGAGATCTGAGAGACGACTATGAATTCGGGCCTCAGTGACGCGTTGTGTACACTGTGTGCTATCTATCAGCATCTGAAAGCTGCCATCTCATTCTAGTTTTTTTCTAGTTCTCAGCTGCTGATTGCAGCAACAAAAGTTAATGTAGAAACTACGAAGCGATTTTCCACTTTCAAACATAGACGGTACAAATGTAACCCGGTTTGAGTTCATGCTACACTCACTTTACTGTCGATAAGTATTCACGAATCGATACAATTACAAACTGCGTGAAAAACAGTTTAAACACACTTTTTCTATAACTTTGAATCTCGCCCGCGCAATAGTTTACACAGTTCCTGATTTTTTTAGAACTGAGGTTTTAGAACAGTTTTCCTTGTTTAAGTTGACTTTGAATTTATATTATATTTCTCAAAATGTTACAAATTTTATGCACTTTTTCTACGTTTTTCATATGTTTGCACAGATACACATATCTTAATAAATACGAGAACATATCTCATCACAAATATGAATATATCTCTGCACGAATTGATAGTAACATGTAATTGATAGTAACATGTAATTATATGAAATGAAAATTTTACACAGATAAATATTTATATCTCAATATGTACGTGCACATGTATATATTAAAATTATCATTTTGGTGACTTAATTTAAAACATGTTATTTTGTTATTAGAAATTAAGTAGAAAATAAACTTCTCTGGTTCGAGTTCATTAAATGTACGATTGTACGTTTTATCGTGTAGTTAGACAATTTACACTGTAAATGTTTCTTTGAATATCTTGAAAACCAGAAGTCCTACAAAAAATATTTTACAAAAGTTGTGTGTTATTTTACGTGAAATACGATTTTGAAATAAAAAATATAGATTTACGATACAAAAAAAGTTGACCTTGAAAACGCTCACGCATTAAAAAACTATTACTGCCTTTTGAATCCTCACTCACAATACTAAAACTCGGTGCTGTGTGGGTATTTATTATTTACGCAATGTTGTATATAAGGATAGCGAATAAAGAAAATCATATGTTATAACGAATAAAGACAATTATGATGTATGATTGTGTATATTTATATATATAAAAAAGTTGTAGCTAAAAGAAACAAGTTGTAAACTACTATGACTCATATAATTGCGAATACTTGTGAAAAATACAATCTAATTAAAAACGAGAGAAGTTGTTCGCGCCATAATTGCCCGCTAATTCGAGTGTGTCTTGAAACGCGATAAATCGAAATATCGAATCGACGCGCGCGACGTAGCGCATACAGCACGGAACAGAACCAAATCAAAGATGGTATATTTTTATTCACCGATTTGGTTCGTGATATGCGCACAGTTGATGCGCGCAAAACATAGATATCGCGACTTTCGAGGGCGGGAACGCGTTTAGAAATGCAGCGGTCGAGAAAGTAAGAAAGTATATACAACAGAATGGCCGCTCTCTGGCTGTTCTCTGATAGCACTGAGAAGAACTCTAAATTAATATTCGCAAGCATAGCATTTTTATTCACTGGATTCACTTGGTCATGTAACAACTCACATAATGAACCAGATAAAACATGACAGACATCATGGCGCTCGAGAACATGACTGCGTTCCGTTTCACGCATATGCGCGCATGTATCTATAGTACACGTGACGTATAGTATAGAGAAATGCGCGCATATGCGTGAAACGGAACGCAGCTCATGTAAAATTCTATGCTTAAGCCCGTATTACACAGGTATATTATTATCTGACGTTTAAAAAGTGACCAATTAGAGCGAGGCGGCTTGCCGACCAGTTCGCTTTGATTGGTCTATTTCGTTAAAACCAACCAATCGAACATCAAACTCGCTGTGATAGCAGCGCCGAATTCTAAAGGCGATTCACAGTGATGCGCATGCTCGGAAAGTTGGAAAAACAAGCAAGCGTTTGGCATGACTGTCGCAGCCGCTTGATGAGGGGCGAAGAGAGGAAAGAAGAGGCGAAAGGGAGTGGAGTGCGCGGTTGTCCGGGCGGCCATTGTGAGTACTTTACGAAATCGCGATCGTGATCCCGAGTGTCGTGCGGCATTCAACCAAGAAATTTTTGAAGGCGCAATCTTCTGTGGAGTAAAGTGCTCCGTGTAAAGCCCGGAACGCGCACGAGACTCCAGCCCGATGGCTGAGACCGACAAGTTGAACATCGACAACATCATAGCTCGGCTCTTGGAAGGTAAAACTGGTCGATCGCTGTACTCAGCAAAGAAGAAAAGGGGAAGAGGGGATGGCGACGCAACGCGGCGAACGTCTCTCGCCCGTTCTTGTGCATTCGTCATCATGCGCATTTCTCCGCGTTTACGATTCTCTCTAGAGTCGTTCGCTGTGTCGCAGCGACGCGCCCGTTTTTTCTCTTCGGTTTCTTGTTCTCAAGGACACCGTAAAACACCGTCCTGACCACTATCTTGCTCCCGTTACGCAATGTCCCCGACAAAACCAACAACCACGTCTCGATAAGATCTCGTTGCCTCCAAGCGAATGGTTAATTTGTTTTTTATGTAATGTATCACACAAAAATATTGATAAATCCACTCAATGATCCTAGCCGTCTGTGTGCAATAATACTCGATTATTTGCATCTAATTGAATTTTTTTAAAGCTTTTCTGCCTTTAGATAAACGAAAAAAAAACTTTCAAAAGATCTTGTATTATTCGTAAGCAATTGTTTATCTTAAAAATGTTTTAATTGGTCTCTCAGTATTTTATCTTCAGTAAAAGACTAAAAGATCATGAACAAGTATCAAGTTATTATTGATAAGACAAGTATGTAATGTCTTTTTGTTGTTTTGCCAACTTTAAGTGCTCAACAACAAGATGATCACATTAAAATATCACATAAGAGAAATAGAATTTGTTACTATCTTACTTATGTATGCTATCTTTTATATTTTTTATGTTGATAACATTATCATTCTAAGAGTGTGTTTTATTTGATATCTCTAGTTCGAGGAGCCAGACCAGGCAAGAATGTTCAGTTGACAGAAGTGGAGATCAGAGGATTATGTCTCAAGTCACGTGAAATTTTTCTGTCACAACCTATTCTTTTAGAACTTGAAGCACCCTTAAAAATATGTGGTGAGTAAATAGATGTTTTCTTTTTCATGGAAATTTATGAAGAAATATTTCTACAGTTTTTTCTAAGAGAGAGAGAGAGAGAGAGAGAGAGAGAGAGAGAAAGAGAGAGGAAGAGAGAGATATCTATAATAATAACATAGACTCTATTTATTAATAGTTAGAAATTCTTTTTGCAAGGTGATATACACGGGCAGTACTATGATTTGTTGCGATTATTCGAGTATGGTGGATTTCCTCCTGAGAGCAACTATCTTTTTCTGGGAGATTATGTAGATAGAGGGAAGCAATCATTAGAGACTATTTGTCTTCTTCTTGCCTATAAGATCAAGTATCCTGAAAATTTTTTCTTGTTAAGAGGAAACCATGAATGTGCATCCATTAATAGGATATATGGATTTTATGACGAATGTGAGTATGAGCACTTATCAAAGTTAGATACCACCTTTTTTTTTTTTTTCAAGATAATGAGAATGCGTCAACAGCTTGTACAATAATAATAACATTTAAAGAGCAACATTGTTTATTTAAATCAATTGCAGAGAGTTTGCGAATAATAGAATTTTATGGAGATTTTTTTATATCGTTCCTTTAAAAAAAAAATGTGCACACGCGCGTGTGCATAACATGCTATCTCTACAATTAAAATTTATATTCTAGGTAAACGTCGTTACAATATTAAATTGTGGAAAACATTTACTGATTGCTTCAATTGTCTACCTGTTGCTGCGATAGTAGATGAAAAGATATTTTGTTGTCACGGAGGCTTGAGTCCGGATCTGCAGAGCATGGAACAGATCAGACGTATTATGCGACCAACGGATGTACCTGATCAAGGACTGCTCTGTGATTTATTGTGGTCAGATCCTGACAAAGACACAATGGGTTGGGGTGAAAATGATCGTGGTGTATCATTTACATTTGGTGCAGAAGTGGTTGCCAAGTTTTTACACAAACATGACTTCGATCTTATATGTCGCGCACACCAGGTAAAACTTAATGACATATTTAGTACACAACCTAAGTTTCTGCATTTTTGTGAAGTTCTAATGCATTACAAAATCGAATCGAATTGTTGTTTAGGTGGTAGAAGATGGTTACGAATTCTTTGCTAAACGGCAGTTGGTGACGTTATTCTCGGCCCCGAATTATTGCGGCGAGTTTGACAATGCAGGTGCCATGATGTCGGTAGACGAGACTCTCATGTGCAGTTTCCAAATCTTGAAACCGGCCGATAAGAGAAAATTCACATATGGCGGTCTAAATGCGGGGCGACCGGTGACGCCACCGCGAGGTGCAAACAACAAGAACAAAAAGAAGTAAACTCTTTAGACTTGTCTTTTTAAATGCGATGCTTAGGATTTACAACTGCTATCCTTGATCCACCAATCACATCCGCAAGATCTTAAGTAAGAGAGGGAGAGGCAGCGAGAGAGAAAGAAATATTTATAATAATAATAATAACTATTATTATTATTTTATTACGTTTTTTGGTTGACTATGAAGGCTGCAGAAATAGTTACAAAGAGTGGAAAAAAAAAAAAAAAAAAAAATACGTCTATACTAGAAAATCCGGAGGAGCGTTGCTTTTCATAAAAGTTTGTCGGAAGTAGTAAATGATAGCGTATGTTTATAGCTAAATATATTACATGTAAAACAAAAATAGTAGTGATGAAAACCAATCTACTGATAATATTAGAGTGGATCATACGGACGCCGCGATATTCTTTCAAAAACCGTTGCGCAAAGTAAGAAGTAAAACCACATTGTATAACTCATCTTTTGTATTTGCCAATTATAATATCTGTGTCTTTTAGTCCTGTCATTTGTTCACCAACATCAATAATAATATCTAATCAAAGAAACGAGATAAAGGGCAATACATTGATAATATCTTAAGAGCAATATTGATAATCTCTTGCCAGAAGAAAAGAAAGACAAGATCTCAAGATTTTTCGATAAGTTTACACATTGATATTGTGACGATGTAGAACATTTGTCATGTATATCATATGTCCGCTTTTGCTTCATTTTTGTTTCATTATGTAAGTAACGCCATTTATAAAAAACATTGACACACGAATATTCACGACTAGTGACTATCTAGATTTAATTCCCTAAAGTATAGATATTTATATAGCTTGATATACTTCTGTAAGTTGCACAAATTTGTAAACAATATTGAATTATTACGTCATACGTACTTTTATAAATATATATTTATATGAACTGTGGGGGAAAAAAAACTATAAAGAAAAAAATAAACAAAGAAAGGGAGACGTGATTTTTGTTCTATAAAGTCGAAACATCTGTAGCGTAATAAGTCAATGCGCGCGTGTTCTTAATTGTCTCTCTTACAACAAGCATAAGTAAGTATTCGTGTTACAATTATATTGTAGCAAGGCTTCTCTGGATTACTTTCAACGATAATATAGTAGTTCATAAAAGTGAGATGGTATCGATCGTGTGTGAATAGTGAACATAAGAGCGCGCATCGTACAGCGATTTAATGTTGTCGTCGTCGTCGTAATAAGCGTCTAATTCTGAAGTAATGCCAATAATAAGAAACAACGTGTCCTCTTGCGGTCGGATGTTTGCGATTTCTCAATTGTAAACCCTCTCCTATCAAAATGAATAATATTGTTAATATTATTATATTGAGACACCTCCCCCGCCACCCCGTCCCTCGCTCTCCTTTTACTCTAGTTTTATTTAGCGTCTTGTTCATTTCCATCAGCACTGTTTTCCCATTTATCACTGCACATCGCACAAAGCACGAAATCATCCTCGATAATAACTAAAAGACACGATATAAAACTACGAAAACAAGAACGACGTGAGGATCTTACGAGGTTAAAAACTGATCATGTTTAGCATCCTCTTCAAAACAACAAAACCTGTACATTAATTTCTTTTATAAATAAAATTCACATAAAAACATCCATCATTTCTTCGATTGATGTATTTATATATCCACATATATTTTTCCCGACAGTTATTATTTTTAGCATGCAATCTTGAATTTTTATATTTATCTTGAATCGAGGTACTCTTTTCTGCGCGCATGTGATATTTCTAATTTATCCGTCACGAGTAGCAAATACATATATATATATATATATAATACATGTATATGTGTGTAAGCGTATCAGGCACACATTTTAAAAGGTACTACACAATTATATATTTATAACATAACGAATATGTGTCTATAAAGTTTCTAATTTTTTTTCACGTTTGTACAAAATGTTTTACTCGGAGATTTCTGAGATGTGTCCATGCGTAATTCAAAACTTTGATATTATTCATATTGTACACTTTTTAATTAAGTAGACACGATCATGTTATATCACAGACGCGAATAATTTTATCTATATATCGATTATAGAAAATCGTACACGTGTAAGGGCTAAACCAATAACACCAATTGTTATTTTGTATCAAGCTCTTTGCGATATATATATATACAAACATATATATATATATAATTATCGAAAAGTGTCAATTTAAGCACACAATGAATACAATCTATTGCTATATACATATGCAATGTTAATGTGTTGTAAGTGAGAAGATTCTAACTGTATCTTTGTGTTTATATACGCGTATATACAAATGTAAAAAAACATGGAAAAGAAAAACATAAGAAAAAACAAACTGGATTAAAACAGATCTAATTATGAATCATACGATGCGTCCACGCGCGCTTTAGTTTAATCTCGTCAAAACGACTTACAATCTATATATAAAAAAAAAAAAAGTCGAGTGTAACTCTCTTTTGTGCAAAACCTATTAGACGGTCAAGAATGAAATAAACAGGCCAAATATTTGACTAAAGTCTCATGTGTTTTCAAGTTGATGTTTTTCGTTTTTAATACACACACATAAGATTATTAATTTGTTTAACTTTTTGTAAAATTACACATAAATTTTGAAGTATTGTATAATATAATATGTGCCGAAACGTCTCGATTATGTTGATCTTTCTCTCATATCATACGCGCGTTTTCGAATGAATATCTCTTCTTACGAAGATAATGTTACAGTAAACATACGGCCCTGGACTCTGGCCACTAGTCGTCGGTGATATTTTGGTTCAGCTGTGGGACAGTGGGATAGGACACGAGAGAGAAAGAGAAAGAGGATCGTCTTCGCTCGTATTGCCGGCGTGTTCGCTCCGCGTGAGCGTTCGCGCGCGAGCAAAAGCGAACCGAGAGACCCCGAGGTGTTGGAGAGCCACGCTGACAGACATATGAGGATTCCAGCGGCGAGATAGGATATGTGTGCCGACTATGCCACGATCGAAAACTTGAGAAAACCGCCAAACTGCACACATTACTTAGTTCTCATTTCCTACTTTCACACCACACAAGTCTCAAGCCGGAAGCTCTAATGTATTCGTAGGGTAGGAGGGAAAAAGCAAACGATTCTCCGAGCCATTTACGGGTAATTTAATCTATATTTTATTTTTTTAAGAGACAGATAAAAATGTTATAATTTATATTTCAAAAATACCGATGTATCTTTTTTTGCTACTCGCGAAATTTTTTCGTCTCTATATTTTGCATCTTGTAGCAAAAAATATTACATTTCATTGACGATGTGATACATTAATGTTACTGACGCGATATATTGTTATATTGTTGAGATGACTCAACTCATCTTTTTTTATTTCTCGCTACACGTGCGCGCAAGAAATTTTCATGCAAGTAAAGGCATGAAAAAAAAAAAAGAAGAAAACGGACATATCTATCTGCGAGGATAAAATCTGTCCAAGCAAGCGAAGCACGCGAAGACAGACACTGACCGTAACTGCCACGAGTGTCTAGAAGAAGTTTACCTTACGTTGTAAATAAAAGGGACGACTCTCTCTTTGCCGTGTTGTAATATCAGATCAAGCTGAGTGGCGCGTGTCTGTCTCGCTCTTTTACCGCACGTCCGCGCGGCAAATCTTTTTGCTTCTCTACAATATACGTATATAACTATTCAAAAACTTTAATGTAATATACAAATCTGTTTATTTATATTTTAAAGTTTATATTTCTATATTTTTATTTTTTTAAGACAGCAGTGTGTCTTACATCTCACGTATACGGCACAGTGAGATTGGCACACGACCGAATAATTCCTGACTAGATGGTGGTAGAAACTTTGAAGTTTTAAATAAACTTTGAACCACTAGAATAGTTCTTAAAGACACTTTTGTTAGAAGAAAAGTCTACACAAATTGATTTGTGAAAAATGCCGACGTGAAGACTCGCGTGTGCGCGAACATCTAGTTCTTTCGCTCAATAGTTTTTCGCGCAAACTATGGAGAACAATCATACAAAACAAAAAAACCACATGATATAGTTTATATCTAGTCAAAGTTGCTCAAAGTGTCCATATTGATCGATAACAAAACTTACGCACATATTATACACGCGGGATGTGTGTATAACGAACTTTCACTCACCCAATCATTTTCGCGAACGCTCTCGCGGACTTAAATAACTACGTGAAACGTGCGAGGATCATGAAGAAAAGTTAAAATACGATGGGGATGGAGAGGACGAGGCATGGTGATGGCGGCGACAAAAGTGGAAGTGTACAGCCGACGAGGGGAACGAAAAGGTTGTAGACGTAAAGTATAAACAGTCGAGGTGCGATTTGACGTGCACTCCGGCCATTCGTACGAGACGCGCCTTCCGCTTTAAGAATCGCCCCGTGAAGGAGGACGATGGCGATGGCTGGAATCTGTAAATCTGTCATTACGGCCGTATTCGTGCGGGAATATGAACTTCTGCATGTGTTTGTTGGTCGTCGCATCGCGACGCTTCTTCAGATCTATGCTGGGCTGTCTTCTGTTTCGAAGAGTTAGAAAGAGTTCTCGAATTCTCGAAAGTAAGTACGTGTGACGAGTTCAAAGAAATCATCGGTAAATCATCGGTAAAGCCCAGTGTCTAAGAAAAGTAAGAACTATATATATACACACACACACATATACACAACAGTTACTAATTAGTGTGTGTATATATATATATATATATATATATCGATATAATTGATCTTTAAACGAACTTCAACCGAACAGAGGACAGCGTCAAATATAAAAAAAGCAGCATCAATCCAGCACGATAAACATTTACATATAAAAAATTATATTTAATTTATCGCAACTGAAATATTAAACGCGCAAGATCTTCTTTGAAAACGTAGGATACATATCGCCGCCCGTCGACAACACAGAAACTATATAAAAGATCTCTGCCACTGTGCACACACACACAGCCCGTCGTGCTAGGTGGTGATGATGGATTCATGATCCGTAGGATAGCTCCTTCCTCCTGAAGGCACGCCCGCGCGTTTCCCTCTCTTTCTCCCTCTCTCCCTCTTGCCTCTTTTTTTGCCTCCAACCTACTGAGCGATTTATTTGTCGATGTATTTGATCCGTGACCAAGTCATCGCCGGAAAATTAGAAAGATTTATTAAGCTCTTTCGCGCACTCCATTTTTACGCTCGGTTGCCTCTCGTTATACGTCGAATTTGTTGTATTGTGAAAAATTCAAGCGCACACTTGAAAGTTCTTTTAAAAACCCGAGATTAATTTGTGTAAATTTTGTTTTGTATTTTATTTTATTTTTATTTAAGTTATATAGTTGTGATTGCATTATTTCTCTTACTGATTTTACAAATTAATTTCTTTGATGAACGTGATCGAGTAATCAACTTATTTTCTTTAACGAAAAGAGACGTTGTGAACACGTGTTGTTCGAAACAACGTTGGCGGTAAAAGCTTTTCGCACGATGTTTTCTTTTTTTTACGAGCCGGTGCCTTTGACTCGTAAGTACAGAACTCGTAAGGAGGAGTGTCACCGACGACGACACGGTGTCAGCTTGACCTCTCGGGATTAACTCCGGTTAAGCTCTGCAACACCTAAGACGAAGATGAAAGAATACTGGAGGGGTTTTACGGCCGGCGCCGTCACGCGCCGTCGATACCCGCAGCTTTTCTATGGACAACGCACATTTTCGCGGCTTTATATTACACTCTTGTGTTTATAGGGTTATGGGGTGTCAAAAGTACGGTAAGACCTCCCTCACGATGAGGCACAATGTGCACGCATTTCTTGCTCCATCTTTTCTTGCATCTTCAAGCGAAGTGTTGCAAAGTGTAATTTAATCTTTTGCAGTCCAAATTTTTTTTCTCATTCCCAATATAGTCTGATCCGAATTCATTTTCATTAATGTCGAGTCACACTAGACGTCGAATTGTTTAATAATTAGATTTCATTGTTTCGCGTGAACTAAGATCAATTAATTTTTTTTCCAAAAATAATAAAATTGTCTAATTGCAAATAAGTTAAATTTAATGACATTTTTAATGCAAAAGTTTTAACGTTTTTATTTTATGATCGCAAGTTGGATTAATTAATAAAAGCAAAAGCGCGCTAAGTTTTGCGACATAGTAGCGTTATATTTATGAGTGTTATATAATGTTGCTTTTTTTAATGCAAATCTTGAGAGTTACATAAATTCTTATGCAAGAATATAAAATGATGAAAATACATCGAATATAAACTAAAGTTTTTAGAGCGCTTAAATCTTACTGGATACCAGCGAGTGTTTTCCTCTTTTTCCTTCTTTTTTAACAACGAGAACACTTTTGACAATGTACAGACGAGTGCGAAACGTTTAAGTTTTCGAGAGACTGTAGCCACTTGTGATCATTAAGCATACGCTTGTAATATGTTTACACAGCGTTGTTCCTCACGCAGTCATCAATCACGGTGAACGTCACGTTGTGGCCCATCCGTCGTTTCTCGGAGACTTCAGACGCTTGAATTCCTCCCGTTTCGCTTCGTTGCCGCTGGGGCTCATCGTTTCCGACACTCGCGATGTCAAACTACAGTTTTCACGATTGTCAGCAAAAGAGATATCGTTGTTGCACAGTTTTTATAAGACATAAATCACTAATATTGATTACCGCTTTTCTCACTTGCAGACATAATGAAAATTGTAATTTTTATATATTAAACAAAAAAAAAAAAAAAATATCTTGTGTTGTAAATATTTATCAAAACTTTTACAGATTTAAGAAATCATAAAAATGAGAATATGTGTTTGCAATATTATAAAATCACACTCGAGATTTTGTAGGAGAAGAAAAACCGGATTTTTAGAGGAGAAAAAGTGGAAGAGAGATATGAAACAGACTGCCCATGTTTCATGTTATTCGTTGTTTATTCCCCATTTGGTCATAAAATGTTTCTCTACTGATATTATACATCGAACGAAAGACTTAAAAAGTTAAAAGCACAATGGCACGATACGACCGGCGGCGTAATTTATTAAGGCACTTAGTATATAAAACCACGTACTCTTACGGAGTGTCACGGCGCGTTTGCTTTCCCCGTCTTGGCTCGGGAACGTTTTAGGCCCGTTTGGCATTTGAGACACCCAATATAAATAGACGCACTTTGCTCCTACAAAAGGCACTTAGATACTTTCCCGGCCTTCCATAACTTCGTTAGCGCAACTTCGATCGGTCGATTCGTCTATTGCGCGCAAATCGAACGAAGCTTCTTGCACGGAAGTCGATAACATCTCGCAAATAAGAGACGACAGTTACTTTTACATTATTTTGATTCCGTATGGTTTATTTTGAAAATTCGAAAAGAAAGAAAATAAATATTTATGTACATGTATAAAAAAGACGTGCGAATGTTTAAAAATCTTACGTTTACGAAGACGCGTCGGTGCAAAAGTATACGAGTTATTGCACGTATCCAAACATAATTCGTAAAATCTGTTCTATATCGTTCTATATACTGTAAATATATGTGTCAGAGACTATCTTATTGCACGTAAGCGTTACATATAAACTTCTGTGTCAAATATCGACACAATATAATCTTTGGTACAAGTTGCATATATATGTTTGTCGCAAGGCACTTATCGGCCGTTCTCTCTTTATCTTCAGTTAAATAAACTCCAATTTCAAAAGAATCATCGTAATACACAAAAAATATATAAATATACGCGTAACTATTTAAAACTATCGGTTTTAATTTAAATAATTTTTTATAAGCGAATCTTTGATATGTGTGTGCGTGAGTGAGAGGTCAAAAGTTTTCAAAATATATTCTTTTGTTTCCCAGACACACCACTTAAGGTCCTTTATCACTGTTGTTCTTTAAAAAAAAAAAAAAAAACTAACAACGCACGTTCGAAAAAGAACAAATGATATAGTACGAGAGTTTATAAACTTTCACAGTTTCTGAAACACACGTTAAATGTTCCCCCTTGTGGAAATCGATGAGAGGTAACACGGCGAAATGATGAGTATTTTATCGCGGTGGTCCGTAAAGAGGCGCGCTCGAGTGCGGATGCTGCGTGTGCGTCGGATAATGGACCGCGTTCACGTGCGCCGACGGTTGTCCATGATGATTCGGATAATGCGCCCAATGGCCGGCGGACGTCGCGCCGTAGAACTGATGGTGTTCCTGGGCAGCGGGTATGCTCGGGATCGGCATCGCCGTCGGCACCGGGTTGTAACCGGTTGAAGACAAGACACTTCCGGCGTTTCCAGCCCCCGTGGCCGGTCTCTTGCTGGGATTCTGCATCCCGGCTACGGCCACGCCGTCGCACTCGTCGGACTCGCAGTCCCGGAAACCCTTGGCGAACGGATTGCTGGCGATCTTCAGCTGCGTTATCCGGTGGTTCTGATACGCGGTCACCGCGGTGAACTTGGTCTCCGGAAAGATGAACGTCTTGAAGTTCTCCGTGCGAGGATCCGGCGCCGAACCCGGCGGCGAGGGAGCCACGACCACGTGACACCGTGGTTGGTAACGGTGCATCGAATTCAAGATGATCTGCGAATGAACCCAAAACAAATCTTATGCGCAGAAAGGAATCGCTTCGAGTCTACAAACACAAATGTGAAAAACTACACGAGAGAGATAAAAGTTCGTAAGATCTACAAAATCTAAAAGAAGGCTTTCTAAATTTTTTCTTTTTTTTTTTTTTTGTTCCTGGATATACTCGGAAATTATCTCCTCGTTTCCGACGTCGTCATCCAAAATACTCCAGGAGAGTATCCAGGAACTTTAACTGCTCGGAACCTTAATAATGTGCGAACGAAATAAAAATAAAAAACAATCGGTTTTACGAAGCTCAACCGATTGGTAGAATTTGGTAAAGTCGTCATCGTATGGCGCGAATCGAGAGAAAAAAAAAACCATGGACCAGAAGAGGAGAAGAAACGGAGACACGTGAAGCTCAAAGCCGGTGTGGAAGGAAGAAACGCTACGGGCGGTCACACAATGTTTGACAGCCAGAAGAGCGTCGGTGACTAATTAGTGTAAAAAACTAACCCCGGGGCCCGCAATCTGACACCCTTGTCCTTCCCTCTGCGCACTTACGTGCACATGCCCCATGATGGTATGTCGAGTCAGTAGGCCCGAAGACGCGCACACGCCTATACGTATCCTGCAATGGATACAAAAGCGCGTGTGGCTCCAAAAATGAAACGCTGTTTCTATCTCGAGTAGACTTTTTTTTATCAGTAATATTCTCGTATTTCTTTTCTTCGAATCCTTTATCATCATCGTAAATCAGTATTTACATTCCCTTTCGTCTAACGTGTCGCGCATTGCGCTTCGTGTTTCACAGCGTCTATACGAGTTTCTCTCATAATTTTTAAATATCAATTACAGAAAAACCCTAACAACCCTTTGTTGCAAAATAAAAATTTTAATTTTTGTTTTGTTTCATTTCAGACAGTAATAAATAAAAAATAAAAAAAATTCTTTCTCTCCGTCAAATATCCGAAGACGCGATAGCGAGTGCGTCAATTAACGATGAGCATCGGTACAGGCATTCCCGACCCGCCCACAGATTTTTTACACGGCCCGGTGCCACATTTTTCGGTGTGCAATTAAAGGAACAAACTGCTGCTGCGCGCGAGGAAAAAGAACGATCTCTTGCCACGGGTCAGAGGTCCTTCTCTCGTGCGTACGCGCGCGCGAGAAAAGAGCGTTCTTTCGGGAGAAATGCGAGCGAGGAGAGCGCCTGAACAAGCTTCCTCTTCTCTCAAAGATGTTTCGAATGTCGAAAGATAAATCACGTTTCGAGGAAAACCTCGGTGTTTTTTACGATCGTACAAATTTGGAGTGCGATTGCACGTGAATAAGTGGTGCTCAGTATCCTTCGTGGCGATATTGTTTTTTACATACAACCCTGATTGCAATTTTATTTACTGGCGCACCTTGTGATCTCCGATCGCGTTACGTGACACATGTCACGTGTTTATTGTTAATTATCGATGGCAAAATTTCTGTTCCCATTTCCTACATATCGCGGCATAACGTACAACGTACGCGCGGTATCGAAAAGTATGTTGTATCATTGTGGTATGCCGATCGCAACACTGAGTCGATTGCGCGATCACATTCGCGGTCGGCTTGATGAATTTGGCACGAACGTTAGCCACGAGAGATTATTTTAGGCTTCGCTGTAGATGCGCATCACGCGCACCATTGCCGCTGCCATTGCCGCTGTCACTGCAATGTATGTACGTGCAATCGCGAGGGAATTAAAGCGCATCCGCGTGATCAATCACGGCTCGTGCAATTAGCCGTACATACTTTGTTTTTTTTTTTTTTTTATTTATTTTTTTTAACAATTGTTTTATTGATCACTTATACACACAACATTACAAATGAGAGAGAAATAAACGCAGTTATTTCGTTCTGTAATTTTGTTGCGGAAAGAAGAGCTAAACTCGGATTGATGCATTAGTCACGATTCTATGCGTCTAATCTCGCATTTCTGTTGATTTTCGATAACAATTTGTAAGAATGTCAAATTATTCATATCACCGGAAATAATTATTGCAAAATTTTTACAACCAGATTTAATTCTCGCGTCGACGTTGCGTTAAATTGTCGTGAAAAAGTAGATTTTGTTATCATATCAAAAACATTCGATATTCGCGAGATTTCTCAATTTTGAATTAAAATCGCCTACGTCGCACAAGAGCCGATATACCGATCGCTGTTTCGATTATTTCTCTGTACGCACGTTAATGCACGTTATAGCGCAGCCTCTTTCCCAGGCTCTCTTACGCGTATAGTTTATATTACATCTGTTTATATTACTTTACACGCACGATACTGTCGTTTTAAACCGCGCGTTGTGGCGACGCGAAGACGAAATCTATACGCCGCATACAAGACATATCGAGATGTACAAATGGCAATGATTTTTAAACGCGCTTAGTGGTGAAATTATATATCGCAATTTATGTTCTCGCGAATTTCTTCTTTCGGGAAAGATCTTGAAAAAGCTTGCATTTATCAGAAACATACGTCGTACATATAGGTAAAATGTTGAATATTATAAATGATGTTTTTAAATGTAGAAAAACTTCGATCGCAGAAATCGAATGTACAACTGCAACGTTAATGTAACATATATAACACGATACGCGTGTCTAATCTTATTATTATTATTATTATATATCGTTTAATAAAGAAAAATCACCGAGATGTGTGCAAGTGTTAATCTACGGAGTAATAGTTTTTCTTTTTTTTTTTTTTTTTTTTTCAAACGACAGTTATCCCTTTGTGAAAACGGCGCACGACATGTCGTTTTTTCCCGCGCACTTTATAATTACTCGCGAGCGACGTGCTCGTATCTCAGGTCAATTAAGACGAACTCGTCCGTAAACGACAAACACGTGGAAACTCTCGCATCTCTCATTCTATTTTATTACGTAGATATACTTTACGAAACGACCGACGTGACCGTCGGAAAAATTCGAGCGAGAGAGAAACGCCGGTGTGAAATTGTGCGATGAAATGGCTTTTTTCTTTTTAAATAATGTGGCATTTTAAGTGAATATCAAGAAAATATTTTAATAATGTAATTCGAGTATAGAAAAGAGAGAGAAATAAAGCGAGAAGCGAGAAAAACAATCGACTCACGTGTCCGTTATCATCGAGCTGATTGTTCGTCAGCTTCAGTTTGTCGAAGGAGATCGATTGCTTCATCCAATGAACGCCATTCGCCGGACTATCAGGATGCACGTGGATTCTTGGAGGTGACACAGGATCGGCGCGACCCGCCACAACCCAGGCACTGCTGTGGAACGCGTATCGATACCTCTTATCGTCACACGGAACAAAATCCATCACCATCAAATATTCCGTGTTGGGATCCAAGCCGAACAGACGACACTGCCGACCATCAGAAAATCTTTAATCATTTATTTCTTCCATCATGTAGTCACTTTGTAGTCGTTCTTTGACCAAGTTTATAACTTCGTCGCTGCAAACAGATCTCACCTGAAACGTGGGAAACATTCTTCGTCCGGCTTTCGTGACGATCATTTCTGTGCCGAGTTGATGAAATTCCTCCCAAAGCGGTTTCGCCTCCAGAGCGGCACCGGCTCCGATCAGCGCCGGATGAAGCGGCCGTTTGGTACCCAATTCTTCGGCGGAGGAAGCACCGTCGTCGTTCGAATGATGATCGCCGTGATGACGATTGTTGTTGTTGTTGTCGTTGCGAGATTCCGCCGGAACGGACGGGGAGATCGGATTCGTCATGTGGACCTGCAAAGCGGTCTTTATCGGATTGGGACTGCGCGATCGCTTCGCTCTTCCGGCGCTCTGCAAGCAGGCTGAAAAAGATCGATAATAAAAATGATTACCTATAGTATAATCGACACGATATTCTACAGAATCAACTAAAAATTACAAATCATTGTCGCAAATTTCGATCGAGTTTTGAAGAGAACTGGACTTGCGGGGTTTTATACCTTCCATCTGTTGCATAGGCGACGGCACAGCTGTCAGTTGCTGATGCTGGTGATGGTGATGATGATGATGATGATCGTGATGATGATGCGCCGACCATTGCTGATAGCAGCAATCGGCACCGATCTCGCATCGTTGCGCGTGTTGCGGCTGCATCCTCGTCGAATCACTATCGGTGTGTATCAATTAATCGCACGTGCAAATTATCGCGATTAAAACCGTGTGTTTTATTTACGTGGCTTCATAATCGTTCAATTTGTTTCAACACATCGCCGCACTCTACGATCACGATACATGACCGATTTCACACTCGCGAATCATCTTCATGGCCGTGGCATCATCCATTGTTGAATCCATTCAAATTCACCAGCGAATTTTCACATTGGAAAATACGCGATATTTCATTGGCTGCGAAAAAATACGCACTTCATCGAAACTCATTGTTATCGGATTAATGATCGTTATTTTCTCGAATTAATATCGTTCGCACTATTATATCTGCCGTGTATCTCGTTTGCGGTTTCACTTCAGACGGCGGCTATAATTTTATTAGGGTAGTCTCTCTCATCCCTTCCGTTTCTCTTTCTCCTCGCGTTATTAATGTCGTCGACGAGAATGTGAACGTGAAACAAGCGATTTCTTAAATATCTCTCGCACCTTTCTATTGAAAGAAGATCAGGCCGCGATGTCGACGTCGCGATTTCTAACCGAGTATCCGACGAGTCCCGACATCGTCGAGACAAGACTGTTCACTACCGTCAACAGGACTTGTCTTCACCTCCGCGTTCAGATGCTGACAAGGACGCTCAAAAGCGTTTTGTGCGCTCCTCCAATCCCGGATGAATCAGAAAGAACTCGCCGAGACGCGAGTACCCCGCGAGGCTTATCATCGAAACATCGTTCTCTCTCTATCTCTCTCTCTTTCTCTCTCTCTCTCTCTCTTTCTCTTGAAGTGGAGGATGTTCTCTGTCTCTCTTTTTCTTTCAACAGAGAGAGTTGCGGGGAAGGAAGGAGGGCTCTTCTGAGGATCCTCCTACACAGGCACCCACGCTGGCTAACGTTGGACGACGATGGGATGTTGGATCTTCTGTTCTTCGCTTTGATGCCAGAAGGCGGAGTCACGGTGAGCCAGAAATGTTAGAGATAGGTGCAATGGACTCAGGAATGAGCCTTTTCATCGCGTCGCCCAGGTATATATTTCATTCGCACATGTATCGAGCATATATACGTTCCACACATGGTTCACATTTGTAATATAATCGAAGAGAGATAATGATACTTCAAGTAATGCATTAAAAAAAATTAGTGAAATGACACTGGTCTTGTTTGCGTTACGCAAAAAAATTTAAGAATTATGATATCTTTTTTTAATTTGCAATGTGTGTGTACATTTTATTGCGCGGTGATGATTACGAAACTCGCTCTCGTATACGTCTCTCGCTGTAAGTTTTGTTCAGATAACAATTAGCAGATTGTTATTAATGAAAAACCAGGTGGATGTATATTATTTTTATTTGTATATGTGTCGTATGTGATTTTGAAATTTTAATTCGACAAAGCCTTAATATTATTATGTACTTATAAAACATAAATAATCTTTGGGTCAATAGATCTTTTAGAGTTTTGTCGACTTTGTATGAGATATTTTGTTGTCAAAAAGACAACAGATTTGACGCAGAATATTATTTTCAAGATTATCAGTGAAATTCTAGCAAAAATGTAATAAAATTTGTTATCTATAATCTATCAACAAAATGTCAGCAAAACCCGAACAGATTTGTTAGACATACTGACGGCAGATTGATGACAAAATTTTTAGCAGATCTGTTTTAAAAAATCGTTTAACAGATCTGCTAGATATTTGCCAAACAATTTGTCGTTAAATAATGTTATTAGAATACAAGCTTTTTCATCGCGGATCTCTTTTGCAATATTGCTCGAATTTACTAGGTAAATTTGCAAGTAATCTGCTAGCCATTTGCTTACTGAAATAATTGGTTACTTATATTCTCTCCTTTTTTTTCAATTATAACATAATTGATTATCGATATCTTATTAAAGATTTTATCGGCAAAGGATGTCTACCTTTGTTGATAACGATATATTATCGATCGAGCAATTATTTATTGTTGATAATATAAAAATCTTTTTATATGATAAATGGCCATTTAATTTAAAGTCATAAAAAACACATTCTTTTTAATAAGAAAAATATGTTTAAAAAGAAATATTTTGTATTTTTAATACAGTTGGACTTATATTTTTACATGTTTTATCATCTATATTTTTTATACTTTTAGAGTGGCAAATGTTATTTATAGTATATTGTGTGTATGTGTGTGTATGTGCGCGCGCGTGCGCGCGTGTGTACATACGGTATGCAAACATAATAATGACAGAAAAACTCAGATAAAGACTAAATTTAAAAAATATTCATAAAAGCAAATATGGGCTTAATAAAACTCATACGCACAATATTGGTTCTTTTCATTTTATTGTACCAAAAAATTGCATCTTGTTTTCAATCATCGTTAATTCAATATAATATATTTATATTTATATTTATATATATATATATATATATTTATATTTGTTATATCTTATTTATAATAAATATTTTTAGTAGCGCATAATGTTCATTGTTGTCATTGTTTTTTTTTTTTTTTATTGTGTTCATGAACCATGAGAATGTGGATTCAGCGAGTTCGTAATCATCGTCATATATCATGTGCTAAGTAGAAAGACGTTCTGTGTGATTGGTCAAATTCGGGAAATCTGTCTGGTTGCATCTGAAAGACATGACAGATCGTCGAATTATTTTTGTCTCATCTTTATATATGTTTCTGGAAAAAAAGGCCGGATTATTATATATTCGAGATCAATTCTTTTTTTCTCGGCATATTCGTCGTTGAGACAGTTATCATTTTTTTTTAGTTTTGCTAACATTACCAGCATCTTACATAGACGATTCATACATATCGAAACAACATAGGTACCTCTAAGAAAATTTTACATCTAGCTTTTGAGGCGCCCGTTCCCTTAAATTCGTCCTTTAGAATTCCTTCACACGGCAAGAACCACCGCGTAAGTCCAAAAATGAATAACATCTATCTTTTTTTTTTTTTTTTTTTTTAACAAAGTTAAATATGTATTTTTCAAGCTTACAGAAGTTTTTGCTACGCTATACACAATGGCGTCACAATAAAAATCACACCAATTTTTCTTTTAGTTTTATATCAAGATTTATTTAACATAGCAGAGATACTGATCTCTTAAACTCGTTAAACGATAATCGCATTTATATCGAATGTTAGAATTAAGACAAAATTAATTTTTTTAAAAAAAAGTCTCTCCACTCTCTGTTTCATATCACCTTTGGACCGTATTTTAAACACACTTTGCTTAAAAAAAATATAATATATATTCTTTACGTATATAAATTCTAAATTTCAGCGAAGAAACACAACGCACACACATTTCCATTTGAATTGTTTCGGCTACGAATACGAATTTTATTACAAAAAGTTTTTTGACATCATCGAAGCTACTAAGCTTTGTAGAACTGAAGATGCTCGCCGCACTTTTATCACGACACGCTGACGGCGATCTCTTTCTTCGCTTCGGTTATGACCAATTCAAGGGTACCGGGTCCTTCACGAGCCGAAGCAGCGCAGCTAATTACCATATACCGTAAGAAAATATATGTACCTCTACAGACACCAATAATTCGATCATCACGATTGTACATGGAACATAGAAACCGTTCCCCGAACAAATCCTCCGAACGAGTGTTCCAAACTTCTTTATCGTCATCATCATCATCACTACGTTAGTTTATAAAGCTTTGCTCTGCCTGTGTTAATTAACAGATATCTCGTCGATTCCCCGTAAACCCTGCAGTACGGCAGTTTTTTGTGTGCCAATAATTTACGCCTCGCGGGCTTTTGAACATCATCTATTAAGTATAACTCGAACACTTCGCGAAGTGCATTTTTGTTTTGCGGCGTGTTGTTTTCCAATGATACGCAGCGAGAGAATAAAAATTTCCTTTCAGCAGCTCACCGGTCACGCTTTTCACGATAATCGTCGTCAACAAGTATTTGGCAGTGACTAGGAACCACTTGAGAGAGGGGAAAATGTACGACGTTACTGCAGAGTTAATGACGATCGTCGTCACTACCACGACTTATTACAAACTTCCTTAGCGGATTTTTTTTTCTTTGTTTATACGTCGCTACAAGTGTTACGTTTGAGAAGAGAGTTTTTCTTTGTCACACTACCAGCGATATCGAAATCTATATCGAAGAAATCTGTCTCGCACCGCGTTGATCGAAGTAATCAACACACCTGTCACTCCCTCAGGTTTCTGATTTCTTCGCGGCGCGCACCTAATGACGTTTCTTTTGAATCTATAATTATTTTATACTACATCTTATAATAAATCCAAAACTATTATAAACGTTTTTGACAAATTTATGCAATAATTTATTTTTTTTTCAAAGTATATATGTGTAAAAAAATTAATACAAATTACGTTTTCAAGTTTCATTCATTCAAGTATTCATTTAATATAATTGGTTTTTGACGTGCAAAATTATGCAATAATTTATTTTTTGAAGTATATATGTATAAAAAACAATAAATACAAATTACGTTTTTAAGATAATCATTTAAAATAACTTGTACGGTTTTGCTCACTGAATGCAATTTTAATGGACCCTTGATTTTCTTATCTTTATCTGTTTATTTCATTATAACGTAAGACGCTCATTGCAGTGCGAGCCGTTAAGAAACGGTATTTCTCTTTCTCCGTTGTTTACTCCTCTTGTAAATCTCCGTCTCATCATTATAGTTGAAACATTAAATTCCTATCATTTCCAGATGCATAAGCGAGCGCGTGTTCCGAAGAATTCTCTTTTTGTCACTAATTTCACTTAATTATATATTGATATTTCGTTTTTTTTTTTGGTACGAGCTATTTTTTCCTTTTACTGCGAATATAAAATGCAATTGTGAATTTTGTTTCTTCTCTTTTATCCTGGACGCCGCGTCGTAGAGAAAATGGTCTCGCTTATCTACGTGGAAACGATGTTTGAGTGTGTGTTTTTCGCACAATTGACGAAACAATATAACGTTGAAGCGGTTAATTAATAACACACGTGAAAGTCGTCCATTGCGTCAAACGTCGATATTGCCCAAAGCGACAGCGCGTCAATAAAACGTACATGTTCGGCGCAAAGATCCCGACGAAGTATAACAGAATATATCGTGCGCGAATAAAACAATGACCTGCCTCAGTTTTGTAATTTATATTCGTCGAATGTTGCATCTCGGCAACACTCGGCCCTAAAAAAATGCGTTCAAATTGCACGGAGATCGGCAAATGATTAGACACATTTTTTACACGCGTTCGCCCACGTTTGCTCGACGTTGCTTCGCCGTCGTTTCGCGACAATGTCGACGTTTACTGTCTACTTTTTATATAAATATACGTATGGATTATAGAGAACGTTCTCTCTTATCGCTGTGGATCTAAATTGGGAGATTGGGATTGCGGTTTGTTTTCTTTTTTTCCGATTTTCCGCGGTTTTTGAACAGCGAGAAACGAGAGTTTGCTATCGAGCGAGTATAGAGAGATAACTGTCGGCCTATTTCCAGAGAAGTGGTGTGTGGTCTACAATTTTGCGTCTTGTCGTTGTCGGGCGATCGGGACTTAACGATTGCGTGTTTAGTAGTTTTTTCGTTTTTTTTTTTTTTTTTTTGTTTGTTTGTTTACAACTTTATAAGTTAAATTCCATTATTGCGCGTCTGACGCTCGTGGCGCTGCACGTCCGCATGCTCGATAACATTGACGATTATATAATTACGAACGAGTAGCAAAAATATTGCCATTTTCTTTCACCGATGAAGAGAAGTAATGTGGATAATTGCGCTTCCTCCCGTGCGTGCGCGCACATTATCTAATCTCAGCGATGATATCCTACGAAACAACAAGACACCAAAATGAAGGAAACGTGCTCCGCCGGCGGAACATGAATAGAAAATAGTCGGTCGTTATGTCTTCAATTTTTTTTTCTTCATACGTTGCGCTGGAATCTCGAACGATATTTGTATAATGTGCGTTTTGTTGAGAAAGAAATGTATGTCGCATGTATAGAAATATAGAATTAACAATTTTGTACAATGAGAAAATCGACTGCGTCGAGAAAGGATATCTTTTTTTTTTTTTTTTTTTTATGTTGATGTTACAACAGTGAATGCGATTTCCGCAAAATTGACGGATTTGTGAGTCGTGTTTTACACGGTGCATATATGTATGTATATATATATATATAATTTGTCGACTGATCAAATTGAATCGGACTGAACGAGTCCCTCGCCCTTCGATCGCGAATTGTTGACACAAGTTTGGCAAACACGCGGCATCGTTTTTTATCGATTTGGAAATACCGTGATAGTCCCTGTAAGAATACTTACTATTTTTGCGATTAAGACGTATGTGTGACATTTACGAACACAGAGAAGAGTTAAGATCCAATCAATCACAATAATCGTAGTTTCAAATGCTCTCGTTTCAACTCCGAAAGTTCTCACTTAAAAACAATTTGTGTTTTCTCTCAACGTAACGACTCCTTTGCATCCTTTAGATGTACATTTTATTCACGTATTCAAGAATTAAAGGATGATATCAACACAAGTCAATGCATTCGCGACAAGGTCTAAGTTCATGAAAAATGTCGCTCGTACACTGTGCGATTATAAAAATATTATATATATATGTATATATATAACCGACGTTCGTTATTTACGCGATCGAAAGGGGAAAATTAAATGGCTATGAAAACTCGACGTAGGATAGAGAACATCTGCTATATCGCTATTATATTATATCATTGCAATACATGTATAAAAATATGCCTTTCGAGTTTTTAACATTACAAAAAGATTTGAACACAATAGAGGCAATAGATATATATATTCGCATTAAAACAAAAAAGTGTTACTATAAATATTATAAATCTCTAAGCGCACAATTAATTAAATATCCGATTCGATAATACACTTTACGCACACTGCGAAAATCATGTTTGTTTTTTGCGTTAATCATGTTTGTTTGTTTGTTTGGTTATTTTTTTACACTGGCGAAAAGTGATCAGAAAGAGTTCGAGTGATTTAAGATAATAAAACCGCGGTAAGAGCTTCGACATAACGAGGAACAAACAACATTTGCAAAAGGAACCATATATAAAAAACTGATTATTAAAATTATTCTTTCGCTGACCTGAATAAAACTTTCGTTAGTAAAATCATACATATATATATATATATAGTATACATATATATATATATACATATATATATATAGTATACATATATGTATATATATATATATAGTAGAATTATGCGAATACGATCGAAGATATATGTATGTATATTTTATGCGTATAACTAGTCAATAATTATTCTATATGTTACATATACAATTAGCAACGATGTGAGATCTGAGAGGACGACTTGAAACTCAATCGATACGATCGATGGGAAACGCACGTTTTATGATTGCTTTTTTTCTTTTGGTTCTTAATCGACGAAGCCTAAAAAGTACAGTGCCGTTGAGACACTTGGACTGAATGTATGCTTAGCTAACGCGTTAAAACTACTACGCTAACTTACATAAATAAAGAGACGCATTCTGCATCAAGATACAGCGTGAATAAAAGAATAGCAGCAGAAGTTTTCTCCAGTTTTCTCTCTCTCTCTCTCTCTCTCTCTTTCTCTCTAAGTACGGCTGATAATTCTAAGTGTGTGTATGTGTGTGTGTGTGTGTGTTCCACACTCTGAATAAAAACTGTATAGTTCTCTCTTCGACATACATACGTTGTAGATTGCACACCAAGTCTCGGGAAGCGTTAAAATAATTATAACGAAAAAAAGCAAAGTCAACGAGGCGATTATAACAAGCAATTGACGAAATTTTGAAAGAAAATATCATTTTCACACATAACAAAGAGATAGTTTGTTTCTAAGATACAAGTTCAAAGAACATATAAAAGGAAATAAGAGCCTGCGCGAATTTTGCGAAAAATAAAATATATTTTCATCCTCCTTTGCGATCGGATCTCTGAAGGAAACACCCGACACGAGGCTATTTATCTTTGTAATACGATCCGATTAATTCGAACGTGTCAGTATTGAGCTACCTGCGTGATTGGCTTGAATATGCATTCATGTGATAATCAAGTTTTGTATATAACGGATAAATACAAAGTTTTTTTATTTTTTGTATCCACTAAAGTGTCATTCCAATAATAGACGCGCGACAAACAAATATTTTTTGTTTATAGAAATTATCGTTATTTATTCGGCATTATCGTTATTTAACGTTTTTGTTGCGATAACAGCATTAGCGCGCCAACATCTCACCGCGATGGCTCTTGAACTTTTCATATCTCCTTTGATTATTTACAAATAATTGCACAGATTAAAAGAAGACATCAGAAGTGCACACTGGTTCTAACTTATATAAAATTCATACTGATTTTATTCAATTTTAACTGTGGTTTTCTAAAAATTGACAAGTGCATGTCTAAAATTTATGTAAAAAGTGAGCGCAACGGTTTATAAAATATATCATACCTAAACAAAGTTTAACGGCGAACAAAATATAACAAGAGTTATTAAAATGAATAAAATAACAAAGTGTTGTAGTCGGAAATAAGCACAAATGTACAGTGTAAACTGCGTTGTTCTGCGCAGCCATTTACGCGTCCACGTCTAATTATATAATGAAAAGTAATGATATTCTTACGTCAAATTTTCGTCAGAGACTATTTTTTCAGAATTGAACAAATAATTTTCCAATTATTGTTTCAAATCAGTATTTTCTTTTTGTTATAATTTTTTCTGACTTACTTTCCGTAGTGGTATACTATATTTCAATTATCAGCAAAAAATTATTGAAGCTGGCAATCGCCTCCGACATATATTTTTGACTTTCAAAAGTAAAAACATCCGTATATTGCTTTGCTTCACAAGTAATTAATTAATTTCATTGACAGAGATTCGTTAACGCTAAATATTCACTATACTTCCGATTTGCGGCTCTTTACGGGAGATAGATAATAAGGCACGCTTTTCTGCCTGAGAAGGCACTGAATGAAATATAACGCCTGTACTTACGTATAGTTAGAATCGCGTTGCATACATGTAAATCATGCAAAGGAGGAAGATCAATTTGAAACGAGATACTATTGATCGCAGATTATTGTGCAGCAAAACAAACAAGTTTGTACAACAAAAATTGTATTCTTCATAAAATTTACACTTTTTCCTAACTAAGCAACTCTTTAATTTTTTTTAATTGGTTCTTTTTCTCGAAATCGACATTCGCGCGTGTATTATATGTTAATTGTTAAGAAAAATTTCGTTATTTTCTCGGCTTCCCATATTTGTGCTACGTATTTTTTGAATTTCGTCTGTTCCTCACTTTTCAACGATGATAACAACCACAGTTTTTTTTCTTCGTATGTTTCTCAAACAGAAATTCCCTGAGATTTTTGATTTTGTGTCCTTTTAATTCTAATATCTCTTTCGAAACGATCGAAAACACAGGATACTCTACGTGTAAATAGCGGATGTATGTGACGAATTATTATTAAATAGCCGAATCTCGTTTGGTTTTTTCTTTTTTTTGTTTTTTTTTTTTTAACGCAAGCTTGATACCAATTTTATTGTTAGAATTTTATTGTTAGAAAAAAGAAAAAAATCACTTATGTATAATATAAATATTTATAACAAACCAATTTGATTCGCTACTTATGTCCTTCTCTTAGTAATAATAATTCTAAATATTGAAATCTATAAGAGTCGAGAGTGTAACAATAATGAGATTAAAATATAAGTATAAATTGACTTAAAATTTCTCGCGAACGGAATTCGCGTCCGATCCGCACCCATCAGGATCAGTTAAATTTACATTCGCGTCGGGAGAATGGACGCAGGATGAAGTGAGTATCGTGGCTTGGTTCATCCGTGTTTCTTCCGCGTTTTGACTGCCAGATGCGCGAAATTCGAGATGGAACGCCGCTGATGTCTGGAACATATTCGACGTCTCGTTCACACTCGTTCTTCCGAAGAAATTCCATGATCGCGCGATCTTGGACGGTGGCTGCGACGTCGTCCCGATGTCGTGCTGTCGTTTATGCGACGGATTTGATCTTCTCTCCGCTGTCGCGAATGAAGACGACGTGGCGATCGGTCGCTGATGCGCTGCCCTGCGAGGGAAACGTTTTGGGAATGGTGATGGCAGGAAAAAAAAGGAAGACGGTGCTAGTACCCATACTCCATCACATTTGTTTTCGCGTGTTTGTTGTCAAACAAAAGACCTGGTCTGCATTTAAGCGGAGAACCGTGAACTGACGCGTGACATGCGCGCTGATTTTTTTTTTTTTTTTTTTTTTTTTCAAATCGATCAACTGCAGGGAAAAGAAAATGTTTTTTGCGCGAGAACGAAACTCACTTTACCCTTTAAAAAAAAAAACAAACTTCCAATAACGTAATAATCCGTCACAAAATAATGAGAGCGATGAGTAGCGAATGATAACGATTTTGCGTGTAAAAAAAGTGTAAGTTTCTAAATAGATGCTAACATATAAATTTAAGATAGAAGCAAAGGAGTCGTTAGCCGGACGGAGAAGATGCGACCATTTTGTATGCCAGATTGTTAAAATTTCTCCTGGCGCATCTCTCCCGTTTTAAATGTCCTTCGATCGCGATATCCCATCACACATATCGCAATCAAAATGCGATGTTATATCCATCTGCGACGTTCGGACAAAAAAAAAAGTTGGAAAAAAAAAAACAAGGGCGAGAGAATCTCGAGAACAAGAAAAACGCAAGTCGAACTCGTTTTGTATTTTATCGTTTCGTCGTGCGAAAATATTAATTGTTTTCGATGTTATACGGTTCGCTTCTCAATCACACAGAAACGCATCGTCGCAGATAACGCACAGTAGAAACGCATCGTGTGCGATACAACGATCGATGCCGGAATTGCCGATGCGGTGCATTACGAACGATTTTGGGAGAATCGACATTGCGTCGAGACCGGCGGACGATAACCCGTGAATATCAGTATAATGTGGTCCTCTTTCGTTCTCTCTTCTTCACTTCTTTCCTTTTCTTCGCGCTCTCGAGAAAAGAAAGAATCCGACTCTCTTTGCGGGGAGACTCTTGTTGGACACTCTTTTTTCGTTACGTTGATCATCGCGTGTTCGACGAGCACATCATTATCATCATCATCATCCTCATCATCATTGCGATCATGACAATTAGAATATACGATTAAACAGAGCGAACAAAGCCGGCGGAGCCGATCGAGACCGACGGAATATCAACAGAGCTCGGATGACCGTGAGGAGAGATATGTCGTCGTGTGCGCGATCGAAAAATTACGCACCTACACGACGCGCTTTGACGAGAAAAGCGCGCAATGCACACAAACCCCCATGCGCGATTCTCCGTTTTTACCTCGTGCGCCTCGGTCGCTGTTACTCTCGTCGGGCCATGAGAGTTGGCCGATTACGCCCAACCATCATATCTCACCAACCTAACCCCCATTCTGCCGTGTTGGGGCGCGACGTTTGCGTGCGAGCGACGAACGACGAGAGCAGCGACGAGGATCGGCTCGTCGCCGTCACCAGAAGTGAGGCTCGGAGTCTCGGGTGTAAGCATCTATTTGGTAGTAGGACGAGCGATCGAGGATCTTACAGGGAATCGAGATGATTAAGGATATGGGTACGGATGGTAATATATTTGGTTACAACTCCATGTCCTGCGCCTCATCCTCGCTGAAGTCGCTCATCGACGACTCACTGTCGGAGGACATCCCGTTTCCGGTGCTCCCGGCTATTTTCTCCTGTTCCCTGAGCGCCTCTTCCGTCGCGTACTTCCTGACGTAATCTGTCGGAGAAAAAGTCAAGAGATTGCAAGAAAAAACGAGAAATCGCAAAGGCAGATCCGAAACGATCTCGGGTCTCTCGTGTGGCAAAAATTTTACTCCGAACCGATTGGCGGCGATCATAAAACTCACACAACGATGCTCGCCGCGCTTCGTCCCGCCACGTTAACGGGGAAAAACTTATTAAGCTCATATTTACTCACCCGCTACCTTCTTTTTGTACTCCTCGGGTTTATGGAGATACATCGCGGCAGCGTCGCCGTTTAGGGGATCGATCGGATTGGGATATGTTAACAACTGAGGCAGGAACGACTCGAAAATATTCGATAAGTCTGAAACAGAGAAAAAGACGCAATATTATTTTTTTTTGTCGATATTTCTCGACATTTACGTCGTGCAAATTTACACGCAAATTACAAACAAAATACAAATCCTAAAAAAAAAAACAAATACTGCACAGCTAGTTTTTCTTGACGTGATTCTTGAAGGAAAGGACGGATTACGTTGCTTTTTAGTTAAGTCGAGCGAAAAGTGCGCAAGTACATCTCGACGTAATTTAAAGGCTTCGGAGTTTTACGAGACCCTGAGTAAGTGAATACGTACCGTAAAGGGCAGTCCATGCCTGGTTTATAACGTCTAGACATACGGTGCCCGAGACTTCGTCAATGTTGGGATGATAGACTTTGTTCATGAAGCCGATCGAAGGAGATTTGAAGGGGTAGTGCTCCGGCAGATGAACCCTCACCATCCATATTCCACCCTCATACGGTGCTACAAGACCACGATAACGATCGTGAAAGACCAATTATTACAATTAATCCGTTAATTTTTGACTTTTCTACGAGAGTTAATAAAAATGAAACATCTCTGTGCGTCATTTAAACTCTGCGCGCGAACCGTAAGTACTTTTTAAACTCACAACAAATGTTGCAATTTAATAGAAGAGAGAATTTCAGAGTTTATAAAAGAGTATATAATTGACCAGTAATACATATTAATTTGTATATAAATATGTGTGCGTGTGTATTTACTTTGAGAACACAAGCGTATTAATAATTATTTATCAAAAAATAATTATTTATTTGTGGACTTTTATTGCGTGAAAGAAAAATACAACAAAAAGAGCATACGCGTACACAGTACGCAACATTACCCGCGAATATTCAGCTAACGGTCGTATATATTTATTTATTTCCAAATATTCCAACTCTGTTCAAGTAAACAAAAGTAGGTATCGCAGAGAATAAATCACATTTTTGAAAAGCGATTAATCGGCGCGAATCAATCGAAACATCAATATTCCCGTCGGAATTCACGTTTTTTGAAGTGAAACCATGCATCGAACGTGCGCAATCATTGCGCCCGCATAATTCGCATTGCAAAAACCAGCGTTAGCGATTCGACCGTGATTCTCCTATAGGTAATTCGCTGCGATTGCCGCACGTACAGTTATCGGCGATTGCTCGACGAACAGAGTCGAACGCTGTTGTATCTCCGTATAATTTGCGATAGATCCGAGAAACTGGAACGTCCAACGGTAAAGCCGTCCGCTCTCAACGGAATGCTTTCCCTTCGCGCGGATGAGAGCGAGGAAATATAAATGTGTCCCGCGCGCCGCGAAGGGAAAAGGCTTATTCCGACCACTGTCGCTGACGAGCCGAAACGTCGAAACTGTTTTCGACTCTTCGAAAGTTCGCTAAGAGCTTTTTCTCGCCGGGCGCGCGCGGATTGCGGGACTCCGCACAATGACAACACGGGACTTTTTACGGACGGCGGTACATCTTGTCTCAATACAGCGAGTGATGTATAACGTAGAACTCTTAAGAGCTTCTCTTTGGTCTTGTATGTATATATAAATTATTCTCGCAAAAATATGCCAGTTGGAACACATTTGCACGTACATATCCATCATATTGGTTCGTATCGACTCTAATACTTGGTTAAATTATTCTCTTTATTTTCACTGAGTATTTTCAACTTCTGCCTCCGATGTAAATGGCAAATAGAATTGTAAAAATTGAAATAGACTCGCGGAAAACGTTATAAATCTATTTATCTACGATTATCATTCGATTATAAAGCAAGAAATTATCGTTTTGCAAAATAATCTGTTATCGCGTGAATGTTATTCAATTCTGTGTGTAACATTTCTCTCGACGCGAGAAGATAATCAAATCGCACGATCGTTTAGATATCGAATTTCATCGCGCATTTAATCACAAATATTGATTTGAAAGTTTCAATTTAATTCGCGCGAAATTAACTTTAGACGAAGTAAGGTAGAGATTCTGCGTAATTCGATAGTTGTAAAAATCAACACAAATATATCTAATCGCATCACACAAGAGAGTCATACGAGAATCCGAGAACTTTGAGGGGAAAATGACGAGCGCGACTCGATTTAACAACTCTTTGTTTCATCATGTAGCGAAGTTGAAACATCGCATTCGTCATCGTTATATATATACATATGTGTGTGTTATCTGTGACACGCGTTTGTAACTGTAACGAGACCAGGCAAAATGATTAACCACATCAGAGACAATAATTAAATCTTGAAATAAAACGGTAAAAGAATTAATCGCGTCGGGGGTGAGGGAGTAAGATGGAACGAGATGCGAAAATGCACGCGTGTATCACGTGTGTACGTATATAATTATAATTAATCGAGTGAAAGAAATGCACGGCTCGAATTCCCGTTGCGGTATATTCGTTGCGCGCGTCCCGTAATAGACTTTAATTATTCCGCAGAAATTGTAACAATGACGTATTGCCACGCGGGCAAAATCCTGCACGCGCGTTGGAAAACTGAAAAATTAAATCCGTACACCCCCTAGAGAATTGTGCGTACCCCTCTCTCTTCCGGTCTCGTTCCACATTTCAACTCCCGTTTTGACGGGAAAAAGAGGTGAACAGAATAAGACAATATATACGCCCACACTTTCGCCGTGAAACTTAAACACAATGGAAAGTTCAAAATATTATACACTCCCCTCACATCTGATCGTTAATTCTCCTACATTTTTCCATGCATAATTTACGATATTTTTCGTTTAAATGTTTAAGCGGAGCGGTAATCCAAGTGGGATTTCAATATTCGCATTTAAAATTTAAATGAAATCTCCCCTATATACGTATTCGCATCTGCAATTTAAATAATATGTCAAACGATATTAAGCAACGCGCGCTTTGTGCGACATTGTGCCTGCTTGTAAAAGATATACGCGATAAAAATTTTCGACGTAAATTCCGTTGTCCCATCACATTTACGCGTTATACTTTTATTTGTCTCCTCGTCATTTGTATGTTCTCTTCGGGTAGTAGGTACACCTGACTGACTTTTGTCTTTGTATAACGTCAACGCACATACACACACGCACATTGTGTATGTACATATCAAATATTTTATACTTAACGATTCAATATTAGTGTACTAATACGTATACGGTGTACACACGCGTCCATGAAAAAACGTGATTCACCTGCGTGCGGTGAACGCGCGCACGTACTTTGTCGCCAAGCTGGATTTACGGTGTTAAGTATCGATACTCACACACGCGCGGATATTGAGTAGGTACGACGTAAACACCGCCATTGTCTCGGAATCTAATGGCTTCGAACACCCGCCGTTTCCGTAACACAATTTCCATTTGCGCTAACCTCGAATCCCTCTCTCTAGCAAAAATCCCGATTCATCGTTACGCTAAATTTGTCTTAGAAGTTCACAGCGGAAGCTGTGCCCCTAAAAAAAAAAAATCTATTGTTACGAAATTCTCACAATGTGTGTGAATGTGATATAATGTATACAATATAAATAAATGTGTAATGTGCATTCATTTTATTATTTTCATAAAAACTCGGAATATAAAAGTCGCCAATTCAGTTATCGGACACGCAATCGATATACACCATCGCCGTCGTACATATACATTTCTCGATACAAAGTTACGCGAAGCGCCTCGTCATTCCATCGTTTGCACACTTTACGCGCCTACTCGGAAAATCATTAGACTAGAATAGGAAAAAAAAAAATAAAAGCGAACGCAGCTGTTCGGATAAGAATGAATTACGCGAGAACTTTTTGTGCCATTTAAATGCGATTAAATTCCTGCAAAAAAAAAAAAAAAAAGAAAAAAGAAACAAGTACCAAAATCACTTGGGAAAGGCTTACCACGATCGGTTGAACGATCGGTTGAACGATCGGTTTCGCGAGCGATAAACTTTCCACCCGCGCGATAATTTTTTCTCGCGTTTTCATCCCCCGCTCTCCTCGTCGTGCGCTCGTTTGTAAGCTCGAAAGTGCATACAACAACAGACGCGTGCATTTATTTTATACTGCGGAAACGCTCGATGCGCGCGTGCCGTTCTTTTTATTTGCGATCAATGTCCGTGTCGCGACCGCAAGAAGTCCGCAACAAGAGAAATACGTTCCTTTCGTTTGAAACAATCGAGAGAGAAAGCGCCGAAAGAGCTTGGATTTCTTGCTAACGAATTACATCGAGTCAATATAAATCACAAATAGATACGAATCTCGAAGAAACAATCGAGGAATAACACAAAAGCTTATTATCTTCTCATTTAAATAAAACAATAAAAACAAAGCTGTGTTTCAAGTCGATCGAGTCTTTCGATAAAATTCAAAGCGAAATTATCTGTGTGAAGCACGAAATGTATGAGCAATGAATAAAAATCAATCGCGAACAAGGCAAATGAAAGAACGCCGCGTTTTTTTGTGCAAACCAAAATTGAACGGCGCGGCGAACATATAAATTTTTGACATGCATGTAACGTATTGTGCGTTCGCGAATTCGTGCGGCACAAAATCCCGAAGTTGCGCTTTGAAACGACGCAACCGGTAAGTGAGTTTTATTTTCATCCAGAGACACATACATATATAAAAGTGCTTTTGCGTGCGCGCGTGCGTGCACGTAACAACCAGAACAGATCGCAAACACGGCTCTCCATTACGCTTGTATAAAAGCATAACTTGTGTTGTATTATTGTCTAAATACGGGACAACGGAACACATTTACGTTATTTCGCCGTTGTGTACCGACACGACTGTTTGCACAAAATTCTCTCGCGTATACCGCGCGTCACGCCGGCCGTAACAACCGCGGAACAGCGTTATAATTCGTAGTTTGTAACGAGCTAGAAACTAAACTCGTTATCGCCTTTGTCAACGCGACAATATATAAATTTTAATTCCGACGAAATAAAAAAAATCACACGAGGAAGACAGAGAAATAATTAGAAAAAATAAGAGTAAAAAGATTCTTCCTGATTAAAAAACAAATATACGTGTGTGTATGTGTGTGCGTATACCCGATACAGTTTCCGAAATATTTTATTCCGTTTTAGAGGCTACACACACGCAATTATTTGATGAAGAATAATTGATTTTACTCGAAAAACTCGATAGATTAAAAAGAAAAACTAATCATCTCTTACGGACGTGTATTCCGCGCAAAAAATCCCTTTCGTTAAACGCTAAATTACTTTCCCCTCTCCGCGACCGACAACCCCGTGCGTTACCCGCTGAGGTCACGTCGAGAGGGTGGGAGTGAGAGAAACGAGGCACCCTCGGCACGCGCGTGCAGATGCAGATGCACGTTCGATACTCGGAGGAGACGGCGCGCGCTTGGCCCATTGACCTACTTTTCGCGTTTCCGCGTGCCCAACGCTCTGTCACGAAATCGCAAACCGCGAATCGAAGACACAAACGACGAAGGCTCGGTTCGGTTCTCTCGCAGCTTCCATTTCGCTTTCGT